TCCTGTGGTGGGCTCTTTCTCCTGGAGGTCTCTGCTTACGTGGCCCTCAGAGATGCCCAGCTGGCTGCCACTCTGACCTGGGGTGAAAGTCTCCCCTCCCCCAGCTCTGTTCCTTTATGCCGTGTCCTATAGTCTCAGGTCACGTGCTCATGGGCAGCCCTGGCCTTCCCTGTATCAGGCTTCTGGAGGCAGAGGTTGTCTGCTGTGCTCATCTGGGTCCCCAGCACCTGCACATTGCCAGTTACTCCAAACAGGCTATTGCTTGCTCAGGGACTGGACAGGCAGTGAAGTGGCGTTGTTATCTGGGGTGAATCACTGAGATTTGTTGTCTTACTCCATGGAAATCAAGGATGTGGACACAAAGAGTGAGGTTAACGGTGGCTCATGCCTGTAATCCCAGCACTTTGGGAGGCCAAGGTGGGTGGATCACAAAGTCAGGAGATTTAGACCATCCTGGCCAACATGGTGAAACCCCATCTTTACTAAAAATACAAAAATTAGCTGGGCGTGGTGGCACGTGCCTGTAATCCCAGCTACTCAACTGAGGCAGGAGAATTGCTTGAACCAGCCGAGATTGCGCCACTGCACTCCAGCCTGGCTACAAAGCAAGATTCCGTCTTTTTTTTTTTTTTTTTTTGAGACAAAGTCTCGCTCTGTCACCCAGGCTGAAATGCAATGGTAGGTTCTAGGCTCACTGCAACCTCCACCTCCTGGGATCAAGTGATTCTCCTGCCTCAGCCTCCCAAGTAGCTGGGATTACAGGCGCCCGTCACCACACCTAGCTAATTTTTGTATTTTTAGTAGAGACGGGGTTTCACCATGTTGGCCAGGCTGGTCTTGAACCCCTGACCTCATGATCCACCCGCCTTGGCTTCCCAAAGTGCTGGGATTACAGGCGTGACCCACCGCATCTGGTGACTCTGTCTCAAAAAAAAGAAAAAAGAAAAAAAAGAGTGAGGTTAAGGCCGGGCACTGTGGCTCACACCTGTAATCCCAGCACTTTGGGAGGCCACGGCGGGTGGATCACCTGAGGTCAGGAGTTTGATACCAGCCTGACCAACATGGTGAAACCCTGTCTCTACTAAAAATACAAAAATTAGTTGGGTAGTCGCGGGCACCTGTAATCCCAGCTACTCAGGAGGCACAAGAATCACTTGAACCCAAGAGGCAGAGGTTGCAGTGAGCCAAGATCGTGCCACTGCACTCCAGCCTGGGTGATAGATGGAGACTCGGTCTCAAAAACAGAAAAAAAAAAGAGGTTAAGAGCTGAAGTTTAATAGGTGAAAGAGAAGAGCTCTTGCCTGGCGCTGTGGCTCATGCCTGTAATCCCAGCACTTTGGGAGGCTGAGGCAGGCAGATCATGAGGTCAGGAGATTGAGACCATCCTGGCTAACACGGTGAAACCCTGTCTCTAATATAAAAAATTAGCTGGGCATGGTGGCAGGCGCCTGTAGTCCCAGCTACTTGGGAGACTGAGGCAGGCGAATGGCATGAACCCGGGAGGTGGAGCTTGCAGTGAGCCAAAATCGCACCACTGCACTCCAGCCTGGGCGACCGAGTGAGACTCCGTCTCAAAAAAAAAAAACCTCTCTGCAGAGCAGAGGTGCCAGAGAAATGGGTTGCCGCTTCCACCATGAAATGCAGAGGTTTTGTAGATGAGCTTGAGGAGGTGGTGTCTGATTTACAAAGGACACAAAAGATTGGTTGGACCAGGTGTGCCATTTACATAGCTCATATAAAAGCTGGCGCCCCACCCTAACCTTTTATTATGCCGAAGGTTTCCAGCACCATGTTGCCTGGTTCTTTATTGTACACATGGCGACAAAAGAAGGGAAGATGGGGCCCCCATCTTGAACAAAGCTGGCTCCCAGGTAGCCTTTTTCTATTGGCACAGCTGCCAGCATATACCCCTGCAAACTTCCAGCTTGCTTATCTATGTCTGCAGCTTGACTTTTCAGGCTGCTCTTTGTTAGAAAAGAAATTGTTTGAAGGCTGCTTTATATTAAAAGGGAAATTTGCCAAGGACTCTGTTGCCCTTACTATCTGCCCAAATAATTTCTTTCTGCCTCCTGTATCAGCAGGAGCAGGGCAGAGTCATGGAATCTGCTTTGTTACAGCCACAGCCTCTTCCTGCTGTTCTGAGGATATCAGGCTCTGGAGTTTTGGCTTTTGGGTCCATCGAGCCACACTCTGTGCTGAGCACCTCTGGAGCATCCGGAGCCACTGTGGCTTGGAGCACAACCCGGATGGGACGGAGACCAGTAAATGGGCAGGGACACGCACAGCCAGAAGGTGCAGAGTCAGGAATGCCGTGCAGGTGTCACACCTGAATGCCATTTTGAGGGCTTCCTACAAATGGGTGGGACAGCAGTGGAGATTGTGCCTGGCTGAAGGCATAGCTGGGCATTTTTAAACTGTGTGTCTGTGCTTTAAACTGTTGGTTGCGAGCCTTTTCTCATTGATTCCGGGGTTTTTATACATATATACACACATATACACACACACACACACACACACACACACATATTCTGGATACTGGTTTTTTGTTGATTACATGTGCATATCTTCCTAGTGGATTGTCTCTTCCCGCTGGCGTAGGGCTCACTAGGGGTTCAACTCCACAGTCACAAGACTATCACAGGCCTAAAGCATATCGTATTTAAGTCACAGACAGATGTCCCCGACTTAAAGATGGTTCTACACAGGATTTTTCAACTTTGCAATAGTTTTATCAGGATGTAACTCTGTAAGGATCGACTTTGTGAAGGGTTAGTTTCTACTGAATGTATGTCACTTTTGCATAATTATGAAGTCAGGACCCTCTGCTGTGTTGCCAGCAATAGATGCATTTTCCTTTTGTTTTTATGAGATGAAGTCTCACTCTGTCACCCAGGCTGGGGTGCAGTGATGCTATCTTGGCTCACTGCAACCTCTGCTGCCCAAGTTCAAGTGATTTTCCTGCCTCAGCTTCCCGAGTAGCTGGGATTACAGGCGCCTGCCACCACGCCCGACTGATTTTTGTATTTTTTTTTTTTTTTTAGTAGAGATGGGGTTTCACCATCTGGGCCAGGCTGTCTTGAACTCCTGACCTCGTGATCCACCCACCCCAGCCTCCCAAAGTGCTGGGATTACAGGTGTGAGCCCCCGTGCTGTTCCGAATTTTTTCTTTTTTTAAAAAGAGACAGAATCACTCTGTTGCCCAGGCTGGAGTGCAGTGGCACGATCATGGCTCACTGTAGCCTTGACCTCCCAGGCTTAAGCAGTCCTCCAACCTTAGCCACCTGAGGAGCTGGGACTATAGGCATGTACCACCATACCCAGCTAATCTTTTAGACAGGGTTTCACTATATTGCCTAAACTGTCTGGAACTCCTGAGCTCATGGAATCCACCTGCCTCGGCTTCCCAAAGCACTGGGATTACAGGAGTGAGCCACCATGCCCAGCCAGATTGATTTTTGATTTACGGTGGGTTTTTGGGGGTGGAACCATGGTGTCAGGAGCATCTGTACTCATATTCCCTCACGATGGTGGCCTTGTTTATATTCGTGATTCTGTTGAGTTTTGCTTTCTGTGCTTTCAGGCTCTAGCCGGCACCTTAAGGTTTAGAATTGTTCAGTCTTTTGAGTCAAACCTTTCCTTTTCTTTTTTGAGACGGAGTCTTGCTCTGTCGCCCAAGCTGGAGTGCAGTGCTGTGATTTCAGCTCACTGCAACCTCCGCCTCCCAGGTTCAAGCCATTCTCCTGCCTTAACCTCCCAGGTAGCTGGGGGCTACAGGCATGTACCGCCACATCCAGCATTTTTAGTAGAGACAGGGTTTCACCATGCTGGCCAGGCTGGTCTTGAACTCCTGACCTCAAGTGATCTGCCGCCTCGGCCTCCCAAAGTGCTGGGATTACAGACGTGAGCCACCGCACCCGGCCAAACCTTTTGTCATTGTGTGGTAGTAGCTGTATGTCAGATAGTACTTTTTGGCTTTTTTTTTTTTTTTTTTTTTTTTTTTTTGGTATATTCCCCCGCCAGCTCTCTGTTTCTGTCTGGTGCGTGTTTTCTTTTTCCCCCTATCTCCATGGAGCCTATCTCGGCAGTGTTGAGATGATGGTCAGAGGGAGGTGGCTTTGAGGGGGAGGGGCTCGGCAGGCTGTGGAGGCAGGTGGGACCCAGTGATTCTAGCTTGGGGGCGTAGGGTGTAAGTGCGGATGGAGGAGCACAGCAGTGCCTGTTTGGGAAGAACGCTGTTAGGCAGATGGCTCTGGGCCTGCCCCAGGGTACCCAGCTGGGACCTGTTTCTCTGAAGTAAGCTACTCCCATAGTGCATGTTCACAGCTTTTCTGCCCTGTCCCCTGCAGCCACCTGGAAGGGAAAATGGCAGCTACCAGCTTCCCTGAGGCCTGAGCCAGCTGCCGAGGTTTGGGATTAGCTGTAGGTAACAGGAGTGATTCTAGCCTCGCTTTTGTAATTCCAGTACCAAGGGAGGAACACCTACCTGGCGAAGATTGACGGCTTCCGAGCCTATTACAAGCAGTGGTTGACAGTGATGCCCGCAGAGGAAACCCTGCACCCCTGGCAGAAGTTCCGGACCAAGCCCCAGGAGGACCAGGACACTGGCAAGGAGGCTGATGTGGACGGATGTGCCCTTGGGGGCAGGTGATGGGAGCACAGCTGAACAGCGTGCTCAGCCCTCAGTGCTCTGTGGGAGCCCCAGGACAAGTGAGCTGGTGTCACCTCCTGCCTGGGGGAAGAGCCAGGCCCTGAGGAACAGCTGCAGTGTGTCACGGGTGTTGGTGTGAGGACACATGCTAGGCCCAAGGTGCCTGCACTCCCGGCAGGTCCAAGGGCAGCTCCAGCCACTTTCGCATGTCACCTTGGGTCTTCCAGCTCCAGTACCTTTGTGTGTCACCTCACACACCACAAGGAGACTGGGGCATCTGGTCCCTGGGGCCTGGTGCTGCCCTGCCGGGTTCCACAGGCCAATGCTCTGAAAGAATAGACGTGGGGCCCGAGAGGTTTAAAGATTTTATTTTTACAAATCACAGCTGATGGACAGCAAAGCCTTCCCCGTAGAGACCCGTGCTCCAACTTGGGCCTGGGGCACTGCTCGCTGCTCCCAGGAAGGGGGTGGCGCCACAGGCAGGAACCTGCGAAGTCCAGAGTCCAGGGTGGAGAGCGCTAGCATCAGCCAGAGCAGCCACGGCAGCCACAGTGTGTGCACTCGATGATGCGGCCCTGCAATGGAGGAGGACATTGAGATGATGCCACTGCGCCACACTCGTCCCTGCACGCTCACATACGTGGCAACCCTCTGCCACCATGCCATATAGGTACACACCTCAGAAACCCTTCTGTGACAGCTCTGGACGGAAAATTTGGCTCCCTCATGAAGGTGGAAACAGCTGCTATGGATACCAAGGTTACATCTGTATGTGTAGTTATAATACGTTATGCAAATCCAACACACGTTTGCCAATCAAGAAAAAGAAATCGGTGTGAATGAGTCTCGTTATTCCCCTAAGTGAGCATGACAGACCCTGCAATAAGCAGAGGTGGCTCTGCTACTGTTTGCGGACTTCAGGGCAGCCTCTGGGCTGGGACACTCTGGTGGGGAAGAGGGCAGGAGGCTATGCACTTGAGTTACACCCTTCTGGCCCAGAGCCCTCCAGAAAGAAGCGTCTTGTCCCCCAGGCCTGGTGCGGCCCAATGCTTGGCTGGCCAGAAAGCCCTAGAACAGTGGCTTGTGTTTATTTTACTTTTTCAGTTCTTTTTTTGGAGGAGCAAGACCGTAGTTTAAGTAAACAAGATCCTCTGATGAAACCCAGGTAAGTCTACAGCAGGCTGTTTTGGCCACTGGGTTGAAGCAGCACCCCAGTCCACCAGCCCCCCGACCTGGATCCCTTGTGGAATGTGGGCACTCAGGGGAGGGGTGGCTTCTGCCACTCTGCCACCCCTCCCTGCCTCCATCAGAAAACCAACACCCTAGTCTTTCCTCGGGGAGGCGGCCCTTGCTCGCCCCCACTGCTCAGTACACAAGTCCTCAGATCCAGCCGCAGCTCTCCACTGTCTCACTGCAGCATGAAGGGACCTGTGTGAAGAGGCACCTGTGTGGAGCTGGGGACAAGAAGGCCAGGCTGGCAGATGGGCCGTTGGGCCTGATCTCCCAGCTGGGCCAACAACTGTGTGCCGAGGCCACAGCTGCCTTTCAGAGGGGGCTGGGGCCGGATAGAGCTCAGCTCCTGTCCCTCAGCACCACTCCTGAGGTGCCTGGCCTAGGAGTGGTACTTGGAACAGAAAGTTCTGAAAGAAGAAATAGTGGGCTGGGCGCAGTAGCTCATGCCTGTAATCCCAGCACTTTGGGAGGCTGAGGCGGGCAGATCACCTGAGGTTGGGGGTTCAAGATCAGCCTGACCAACATGGAGAAACCCCGTCTCTACTAAAAATACAAAATTAGCCGGGCATGGTGGCGGGCGCCTGTAATCCCAGCTACTCCGGAGGCTGAGGCAGGAGAATCATTTGAACCCAGGAGGCAGAAGTTGCAGTGAGTCAAGATGGCGCTGCTGCACTCCAGCCTGGGCGACAGAGCAAGACTCCGTCTGGGGGGCGGGGGGAAAAACAGTGATGGTAATGTTAAAGTATCACTGTGAGGACTGAGGGAAAGGGACAGGAACTCAGTGGCCACCCTTCCCTGATGTCACCCTGCCACCATCTGGGGATTAGGGCTCCTCACTACCATTTCCTAAGTGAGGAAAGGGGTTCAGTAATTTGCCCAAAGGTGGAGTTGAGATTGGCCCCAGACCTAACAGAGACACTCACAGCCACACGCTGCCTCACACGGATTCCTGAACAAAGGGACCCACTCCCGCGAGGGAGAGCCAGCAGGACATTCAGGGACAAAACGACATTCCAGCCCAACCAAATATCGTAAGATCCCTTGGAGTCGACTAGAGCTTTTGAGCTGAAAATAACATCAAGCGTGTGTGTCAGACATTACCACTTCCAGCTTGCTTTTGGGCACACGGCAGATGCAGTTCGTCCCGAAGTTGGTGTCCCTTGTCTGAATGCACCGCAGGCAGCACAAGTTCTCATACCCTTGCTTTTTCCATTTTGCAATCAGGTTTTTGTCTGCATAGCCTTCTTTAATACAATATTCATAGAGTTCTGTCAAAAAGATGGGGAAAGAGCATCAGACCATGGTCTAAAAACCTTCCCCACCCTTGATCAAAAAGAGCATTCAGGCTGGGTGCAGTGGCTCATGCCTGCAATCCAAGCACTTTGGGAGGCCGAGGCAGGCGGATCACCTGAGGTCAGGAGTTCCAGACCAGCCTGGCCAACATGGTGAAACCCCGTCTCTACTAAAAATACAAAAGTTAGCTGGGCGTGATGGCAGGCACTTGTAATCCCAGCTACTCAGGAGGCTGAGGCAGGAGAATCGCTTGAACCCAGGAGGCAGAGGTGGTATTGACCTGAGGTCATGCCACTGGACTCCAGCCTGGGTGACAGAGTGAAACTCCATCTCAAAAAAAAAAAAAGCATTCAGTATTGCAGTGGGACAGTCCTTGGAGGAGGAACCAAAAAAAAGTATTTAGGCCAGGCAAGGTGGCGTAATCCCAGCATTTCTGGAAGCCAACGCCAGAGGATCACTTGAGTTAAACCAGCCTGGGCAACATAGCAAGGGTCCATCTCTACAAAAAATTTAAAAATTAGCTGGGTGGGGTGGTGCACACCTGTAGTCCCAGCTACTCGGGAGGTTGAGGTGAGAGGATCCCTTGAGCCCAGAAGGTTGAGGCTGCAGTGAGCCATGATTGTACCACTACACTCCAGCCTGGGGAACAGAGCAAGACCCTGTTTCATTAAAAAAAAAAAAAAAAAAAGCCAACAGTGGTGGCTCATGCCTGTAATTCCAGCACTTTGGGAGGCCAAGTCGGGTAGATCACCTGAGGTCAGGGGTTCGAGACCAGGCTGACCAATATGGTAAACCCCATCTTCACTAAAAATACAAAAATTGGCCAGGTGTGGTGGCGGGTGCCTGTAATCCCAGTTACTTGGGAGCTGAGACAGGAGAATCGCTTGTACCCAGGAGGCAGAGCTTGCAGTAAGCCAAGATCGTGCCACTGCACTCTAGGCCTGGGTGACAGAGTGAGACACCATCTCAAAAAAAAACCACACACACACACAAAACTCAGCCAACATTGGCTCCCCTTTATTTTTAGTGATAAGAAAAACCATGACTTGCAGAAGTTGTGAGAATAAGGATTGTAGTTAGCTCAGTAACTCCAAAAGTGACTCAAGTTTGAAAGGCCAAGAGAGACTAATTACCTCTGCTGATGGCCTTCCGCTTGTAAAAGAGGTCAAAGATGTAGCGGGTTTTCTGGTGGTGGATCCTGAAGATGGGCCACAGAGATTCCACTTTCCTTTTTCCCTCATGCGGTTCTGTTTCAGCTGGAGAGAAACAAAGTGTGTGTTTGGGGGAACAGGGTCGGTCTGCGCAGGATTTTCTTTTTGTAAATAACTAGTGATAATGAATAAATACCACTTTATACCCACTAGGATAGCTATAATCAAAACTATGGCACGATAATAAGTGTTGGCAAGGAAGTGGAGAAATTGGAAGTCTCCTACCTTCCTGGTTGGAATGTAAAATGGTGGAACCACTGCAGAAAAGAGTTAGGTGGCTCCTCAAGAAGTTAAACAGGGCTGGCCGGACTCGGTGGCTCACACCTGTAATCCCAGCACTTTGGGAGGCTGAGATGGGCAGATCACTTGAGGTCAGGAGTCTGAGACCAGCCTGGTCAACATGGTGAAACCCCATCTCTACTAAAAATACAAAAGAATTAGCAGGGTATGATGGTGCGTGCCTGTAATCCCATCTACTTGGGAGGCTGAGGTGGGAGAATCGTTTGAACCCTGAGGGGGAGGATGCGGTATCAAAAAAAAAAAAAAAAAAAAAAAACAGGGAATGAAGTTAGGTACTGATGTATTCTACAACACAGATGAACCTTGAAACATAAAATTGACTGTGGCAATGGTCGCACAACTTTGTGAATACACTAAAAACCCCTTAATTGGATAATTTAACAGGATGACTTTCATAGTATATGATTAGTATCTCAATAAAGCTGTTATTTAATAAAAATAAGCCATTGGGCATTTTGGGAGGCCAAGGTCAGCAGATCATGAGGTCAGGAGATCGAGATCAGCCTGACCAACATGGTGAAACCCCATCACTACTAAAAATTTAAAAATTAGCCAGGCGTGGTAGTGCACGCTTGTAATCCCAGTTTCTCAGGAGGCTGAGGCAGGAGAATTGCCTGAACTCGGGAGGTGGAGGTTGCAATGAGCAGAGATCACACCACTGCACTCCAGCCTAGACAACAGTGTGAGATTCCATCTCAAAAAAAAAAATAAATAAAAAGTAAGCTAAGTAATTTAAACATACTTGTTTTAAATTAAAAATGTCTATTTTTGGATCCTTTTGTAATTCATGAGTGTGATGACTGGGTGTTCACATCCATGTGTGAGACATGCCACTCTCAAACTTTGTCACAATGTTGGCACATTACCTGTGTGACAAGAAAAAGAGTCTTTTTAATTACAGAATTAGAAAACATAGATTTTTAAAAAGATCATTCAATGGTAACTTCTGTTAAAAGGTTAGTCCCGGCTGGGCACGGTGGCTCACGCCTGTAATCCCAGCACTTTGGGAGGCCAAGGTGGATGGATCACTTGAGGTCAGGAGTTCGAGAACAGCCTGGCCAACATGGCGAAACACTGTCTCTACTAAAAATACAAAAATTATCTGGGCATGGTGGCACATGCCTATAATCCCAGTTACTCAGGAGGCTGAGGCACGAGAAGTGCTTGAACCCAGGAAGCAGAGGTTGCAGTGAGCTGAGATTATGCCACTGCACTCCAGCCTGGATAACAGATGACCCTGTCTCAAAAAAAAAAAAAAAAAAAAAAAAAAAAAGCCAAAAAACCAACCTTGGTCCCTATGCTTTCAGATCTAGTTCTACAGCATAGTAATTTCTCAAGATAATTCTAGGCCCACAGATGGGCATCCTAATCATCCTGAAGGCACCTCTAATTTCATCTCCCAGCCAAAGTCCTTTAGGGCTGAGGAAAAGCCAAATAAACTAGACCAGTCTACAGGTTCTCAGCGAAGTGGCCGCAGGAGAAGCTGTCCCTTCAACACATGCAGGATCAGGTGGCACTCATACTCGCCACAAGGCAGTTCTCTCTTAGCAATCAGAAGTTCATCTTTGTCTATGACCTCCTCAGTTTTTAGGGAAGAACAGACGGGCGAGGAGTGGTCAAGAAGACTATGCCTCCCTGTCTCCAGCTTTTAAACCATTCAATTACCTAGGTATTACAATTCAGCTCAACAAACAGAATGCTGTGATCCAAGCAGAAAAGCAGGAAGTAAAGATTCAGCAGGTGCACATGTAAGACGTGACTTGCTCCTCCTTGGCCTCTGCCATGATTGTGAGGCCTCTCCAGTCGCGTGGAACGGAAAGTCCATTAAATCTCGTTCTTTTGTAAATTGCTTAGTCTCAGGTATGTCTATCAGTAGCATGAAAACAGACTAACACACCCCCATCTCTATGAAAAATTAGCCAAGCGCAGGCCGGGGGCGGTGGCTCACTCCTGTAATCCCAGCACTTTGGGAGGCCGAGGTGGGTGGATCACGAGGTCAGGAGATAGAGACCATCCTGGCTTAGACAGTGAAACCCCGTCTCTACTAAAAATACAAAAAATTAGCCAGGCATGGTGGCGGGCGCCTGTAGTCCCAGCTACTCAGGAGGGTGAGGAAGGAGAAAGGCATGAACCTGGGAGGCGGAGCTTGCAATGAGCTGAGATCGTGCCACTGCACTCCAGCCTGGGTGACAGAGCGAGACTCCGTCTCAAAAAAAAGAAAAATTAGCCAAGCGCAGCAGTGGATGCCTGTAGTCCCAGCTGCTTGGAAGGCTGAGGTGGGTGGATCACCTGAACCTGGGAGGTGGAGGCTTCAGTGAGCTGTGACTGAACCACTGCACTCCAGCCTGGGCAACAAGGTGAGACCATCTCAAAACAAAAACAAAAAGAAGAAAAACAGAACAAAGAATACTTTTTTCTGGAGGTAAAGAATATCTAAACACAAAGTAAGGTTCCTCCTCCCCTCAAAAGTCACCCTTTAGAAAATGAAGTTAATTTACTTTCAAAGACTTGCAAAATCTTTTCTATTCCTGCACGCTCCCATTTCCTTTATTTTGATAAAGAGCTGTTTGGGGAAGAAATCTCTCAGCCCAGAATGACCATGATTACTGCAACAGGCCCATCCAAATCTAAATCGCAAAGCAAGTTCTGAGTATTTAATAGAAGGTATCTGGTAACAACAGTTTTTTTAAGAAGGGGCAAAGTAATTTAACACTGCTTTAATTTAGTAATTACTGCTGGACAAACGACCTCATAATAACCATGATTAGGTTAGTTACAAGCAAGCATTTCAAAAGTTACTTTAAAAAGTAACTTCAGCCAGGTGTAGTGGCTCATACCTGTAATCCCATCACTTTGGGAGGCCAAGGTGGGTGGATCACTTGAGGCCAGGAGTTGGAGACCAGCCTGGCCAACATGGAGAAACCCCATCTCTACTAAAAAAACAAAAATTAGCCGGGCGTGGTGGCGCGTGCCTGTAATCCAAACTACTCGAGAGGCTGAGGCAGGAGAATTGCTTGAACACGGGAGGCAGAGATTGCAGTGAGCCGAGATCATGCCACTGCACTGCAGCCTGGAAGACAGAGCAAGACTCCATCTCAAAAAAAAAAGTAAATTGGTTAAGTAGTCACACTGTGATCATTTAAGGCAAACAGATGCTTGTGGCTTCAGATAAAATTTCCAATTTCCAAAGACAGCATAAGACATGGGTTCACAAAGCAGGTTCACACGCCATTTACACGGAAGTGAGAGAAAACAGATGCTGCAAAGACTAATCAATGAGACTGAAAAGGAATAGCACTTCCAAGTAAATATATTTTGTATGATTTTAAATATACATCTAACCAAAATAGTAAATAACTATAGGTAGACTATTTGATCTATATTTCATAACCTTTTATATTCAAATTGAAAAAAAAAAAAAGGCTTTTTGAGGACCTTTTCATTAACGTTATCTTATTTTTGGGCACTTTCCATGAGTTCATAAGCAAACACAACAGCTCAGTGTTAGTAGACCACCCTCTTTTTATATTTGCATTTATGCGTGTCCCCTGGGGGCATCTAAGCCTTTGACCCTTGGACCCAGCCCACCCAGACAGGAACTCCCCTACTCACCTTCTCTCATCTTTTGATCTAATTCATCCAGCGTTGGCTCAATCAACTCCCAGCCATCTGGGGGTGCTTTCCGGCTTCTTTTGACTTTAGGCATTTTCCTTCCACCAGATAATTTGCAAAGATCTAGGGGGAAAAAATGAATTGGTTTCTGAGTCTCAAATCGCCAAAGGCCTTTGTCAGTCATTATTTTAGTACAGGCTGACTTCCTTGAGTCTGCACAAGGTCACAGCTATGGGACAGGGCCCAGCACCCAGACTGTGTTCAAATCCTGGCTCTGCTACTTACCCGCTGTGATCTTCAGAAAGGTACTTAACCTTCCTAAGTCTCTGTTTCCTCATCTGTAAAATGGGGATAATGGAAGCTACCTTATGTGGTCATTGCAAAGACTTCATTATAATTGTATCTATCATGCCTGGTGGATAATGTATGCCTAAGAGACATTTGCTGTTGTCATTAGCTAACTTCAGCTACAAGCTTAACCCTATACTGGATGTTGGGAACACAGAACAAATAGTTAAGGCACAGCCTCTGCCCCTTAAAAGGTGACATTTTAGCAAAAAGACAGACAAGAGAAAAAGCAATTACAATAGAGTATAAGGAGGGCTGTGACTCAGGGAGCCATGGGGGTGAGTATTTAAAAAGGCAAAGATGGAAGACCAGGCGCGGTGGCTCATGCCTGTAATTCTGGTCTTGGCCAGCACTTTGGGAGGCTGAAGTGGGAGGTTCGCTTGAGCCCAGGAATTTGAGATCAGCCTGAGCAATGAGGTGAAACACTGTCTCTACAAAAAAAAAAAAAAAAAAAAAAGACAAATTAACTGAGCACAGCAGTGGATGCCTGTGATCTGAGCTACAAGGAAGGCTGAGGCAAGAGGATCACTTGAGCCCAGGAGGTTGAAAGGCTGCAGTGAGCCATGTCACACTACTGCACTCCAGCCTAAGTGACAGAGTGCGACTATGTCTCAATAAGAAACAAAACGAAACAAAACATAAAATAAAAAGGGAACGATGGTTGTAAAATCAAAGTACCTTAGGATGTGCTTCCCAAGAGTATAGATAGCAGAAAGATCTCTGGTCTCTGCAGTTGCAGGCTTGGATTCTTGTCCAGCTCTAAAAAATTAGTTTGTGACTTTGAGGTCACTTTCCCTCTCTGGTCCTCGGTTTCATCTGTAAAATGAGGACAGTGGATTAGACCTTTGCCAAGGTCTTTTTCACACCAAACAACATATTCCATAAAGACACGTCAGGTAGTTCCCATGTAAGAGGCCAATCCAAATCTAAATAGCAAAGCGTTTTTCAAACCACACAGCATTTCCTTGTTGCCAGAGAGAATTCAGGTTAAGTATTTACCTTTCAGCATAACAGATTCATCTCTCTCAAATTCATTCAGTCACTCCCTTCTGTAAGGTATCTAAGAAATCCCCCCACAGAGCCTCCTCTCATGAACTCTCTAAAACAACCATATAGATGAGGAATCAAACTCTAGAAGGTAGACTCAGGGTCACACAGTTGGGAATTTGCAAAGCCTGACTCTGGAGGGCCCCTGACTCCCAAATCAGCGGTCTTCGCACTAGTCTCCCCTACGCTGAAGCTTGATATAGGTGAGTTCTGGTCTCGGCCCCAAGGCGCATAGCCTGTGACGAGCGAATGATCGCTTTTCTACGACCCAGGGAAATTCGAGGGCCCTGATCCAGCCCGGGAGTCAGACGAGGCCTCCCCGAGGTGGAAATGGTAGGCGGTAACCAGATCGAGGAGAAAAGAGGAGGTAGGAGGTAATCAGATCGAGAAGAAAGATGTGCCGGGAGGTGTAAGTGAGAGCGCGGCGCCCGGGGAAGGAGGGGAGGAGGAGCGAAGAAAGATATTAGTGCGGGATTGTGGTGAAAACTCATAAAAAGGACAGCACCTGAACCTGGCTTAGAAAAACAATCAGTATTTAGACAGAAGACGTTCCTACCAGAGAAAACGGCGTGAGAATCCTAGAAGAAAACCCCCAAATCTACCGCCCCTCAGAAGAATGAACGGGGGCGCCGCCTCCTCTGGGGACTCTCTCCGACCTCAAGGTCCAAAGCCCGAACACATCCCAGTGGCTGGCTGAGAGTCCAGCTACTCAGATCGCCCTCCAGGACGGTGCAGACCACTGGTCTCCCGCCTCGGCCGTTGCCAAGGTAATCGAGAACAGAGGGAAAACACCTACCGGAACCTACGGTACCTTGGGTAGCTGCTTCTCGACTGACGGCTTCCGCTGCTCAGGCGAGCTCTGAGGCATGAGGTCCTCGCGAAGCCCCGCCCATCCTGCGCGGAGATTGCGTCATCTTAGGTGTCCTCAGCAATGCCTGTATAGAATTCCAGAGTCGCTGTTGCCTTTTGCCCTCATTTCCGGTGAGTGTCCGGCAGGGCCACGCGTCTCCCCGAACGGAGAGACTGGGGGCGTTGTTGCCTGGCCGCGCGCGGGCAAGCCTGGACTCAGGCGGCGCACAGGACAGTCCGACTCCGTGCGGAGCCCTCCCTGAGGTCCAGGTCCTTGCGGCCACTGCGGCCACTGAGGTAGTGGCGGCGGCGGCGGGGACTGGGCCGGGCGGAAGAAGTCGAGCCCCAGACATTTCCGGTTCCGGTGTCAGTTCGAGGCGCCGCCGCCGCCGCAGCCGCCGGAGCCGCGATGCCTAAAGGAGGTGAGGGGCGGGCGCGCGTGTCCCGCAGGCCTAGAGGGGCGGCCCGAGTCCGGCTCCCGCTGTCCCCTCAGCCCGTGGGCGTCTCTGAGAGCAACGCAGAGGGAGGCTGTGCGCACTGGTTGAGAGCCAGGCCTGGGCCTCGACGCCCAATTGTCCCGATGGGGAAACTGAGGACTGTGGTATCCAAGAGCCACTCCGTCAGTGGTCTGAGGAGTTTCGGAAGCTCTGGGTCCTGGCCAGCGTAGAAACCCGGATCTAGGATGCGCTTCTCCGGGCCTAGGGGTTCTGGAATTTATCCCACTTTTAGGCTGGCCGGGAACTGAGTCACCGCGTCCCGCGCTTGTGCCGGGCCCGCCTGCCTCTCGCGTAAAACGTGGGCCTTTTCTGGCTTCGGTTCAGCCAGGCCTGCGTAGGAAGACTTAAGGCGATGCCCATGAGCCTTGCAGACTTGGTTTCGACTCCCCTGTTCGGTAACGGCTCGGTGTGTTCCTTTGAGCCAGTCGCTCCACCTCCTGTGTCTCCGTTTTCTCTTTTGCCAATGGGAATAACGATTGTACCGACCTCGTAGTACTGTTGGGAGGCTTCAACTAGGTAATCCACGTGGAGTGGGCAGTACAGTGCCAGGCAGTCGTTAAAAGTGCCCAGTGAAGCAATAACTATTCCTATTTTTAAGGCTTTGCCAGCTCTTGGCCTTCTAAGAAGGTCCATGACTGCCCAGTCCATTGTAGCCCATCCTCTATCCTGTTTCCCCCTTTAGAATCGATATTCCCCAATTTGAATCCCAGCCGTGTCACTGTCTAATTCTGTGGTCGTGAACAAGTTAACCTCCCTCTCATCTGAAACACTGGGCTAATCCTTAGCTGGGTGAGTTGGGGCTGGGGTGGTAAAATGATAGCGCTCACAGAGTGCCTGGCTACCTCCTGGCACAAAACAAATATATTTGTATTGGTAGCTCATGTGTTATGTTGGTTAATGCACTCAACCCACAGAAACATCTGCCTGGAGCGTTTTCAAACCTAAATCGCTTCCTGACTCCAGAGGTAATTGGGCATTACAGAGCTAAATGTGTTTAAACCTAGCTCTCTACTGATTTATTCTGTAGCTGGAAAAGTCTCTCTGCTATTGTTCCCCAGTCCCTTCATCTGTAAAAGGAGGTTGCTGAATGAGCCATCCTCCTTCCAAAGTTTTACTTAATGGATACTTTGGGCAAAGGTTGGAGGTTACAATTAGAAAACCTTAAATATGAATTCTTAGCTAAATGGTCTTTGGGCTTGTGAAAAGCTTTTTTGGGTAGACAAGGTGTCCGTTTTCTTGGGTTAATCTGAAAACCGCAAAAAACCCTGAAGGTGTTAAAAGTATCAACCTCCCCAAGAGCAAAGGACCAACTCTTGTTTGCGTTATGTTAACTGCAAAGTGTTTTTTAAATTTCGAGTTGTTAATGTTGCCTGGTGTATTAAGAGAGCAAGAAGGGGTGTTGGTTTTTTTCTTGGCACACTTGCTGTCTCACAATAGGACTTTAGTAAGCATATACTTAGACACCCCTGGGAATCTAGGTAGTCATTAAAAATGGGTGGTGTGGTCTGTAGCAGCCCAATTATGGCTCTGCAGCTGCTGTAAGGAATCAGGAGACCAGTATCTCTGCTACCGCCTCTGGAGTGCAGAGCAACTCTGGCTGATTACAGAGTCTCTGCTCAGAGACAGACTCTGGAAATCAGGTGGGCCTCAGCTTCCAGGAGAGGTCGTGTGTGGAAGTCGAGGCCACAGCCACTCCTGCATACTCGGGGACCAGCAGAGGGGGATGCCACCCTGCTTTAAAACTGGCTGATGGCGGCCGGGCGCGGTGGCTCAAGCCTGTAATCCCAGCACTTTGGGAGGCCGAGACGGGCGGATCACGAGGTCAGGAGATCGAGACCATCCTGGCTAACACGGTGAAACCCCGTCTCTATTAAAAAATACAAAAAACTAGCCGGGCGAGGTGGCGGGCGCCTGTGTTCCCAGCTACTCGGGAGGCTGAGGCAGGAGAATGGCGGGAACCCGGGAGGCGGAGCTTGCAGTGAGCTGAGATCCGGCCACTGCACTCCAGCCTGGGCGGCAGAGCGAGACTCCGTCTCAAAAAAAAAACAAAAAAACTGGCTGATGGCTTTAGCAAGGGTCAGCCTGGTGTCCCGGCTGAAGAGGGTCAGACTATAAAACTGACACTTTAATTGCTAGGCACATTTTTAACTTTTAAGACTGTGTAGTCAGGTTTGTTTTCAGCTGTACTTTGCCAGTCATTTCTAAGTCTAAGCACAAAGTTTTTGCCTGTAGGTTTGGTTTTTTTTTTTTTTTTTTGCCTTAAGTATTCTCTTTTTGCCAAACTACTAAGATGAACATGAGGTATTTTATTGTATTTCTGATATCTGCAGTAAATTGCTTATGTGCTCAGTGGTGGTTTTTGTTGTTGTTGTTGTTTTTCCACCAAATACTAGATTAGAGGGAAAAGTAACCATTAGCTATTTTTTTAAAATTTTTTTGCTCTGTGGCCCAGACTGGAGTGCAGTGGCGCAGTCTCGGCTACTGCAACCTCTGCCTCCCGGGTACAAGCGATTCTCAGCCTCCCAAGTGGCTGGGATTACAAGCATATGCCACCATGCCCAGCTAATTTTTGTATTTTTAATAGTGAGGGGGTTTCACCATGTTGACCAGGCTGGTCTTGAACTCCTGACCTCGAGTGATCTGCCTGCCTTAGCCTCCCAAAATGCTAGGATTACAGGCGTGAGCTGCCGTGCCCAGCTATTAGTGAACATTTTTGTAGTGCTTATTCAGTAGCAGGCACTGTTCCAGCAGCTTTCTGTATATTGATAAATTCATCTATCTTTGTGACAACCCTGTGAGGTAGGGACACAGATGAGGAAACTGAGACTGAGAGGTTAAATACCTGCCCAAAGTCATCAAGCCAGTAAGCGTAGAACCTGGGAGTCAGACTCTAAACTTCGTGGTGTTCAGCACTCTGCTTTGGTCTAAGTCTCCTAGTCTATGAAATGGGACCAGCTATCACTCCTGTACCATAGGTTTGTTCTGAGAATCAAATGTGCCCCTGGCTGGCCGGGCGCAGTGGCTCACGCTTGTAATCCCAGCACTTCAGGAGGCTGAGGTGGGTGGATCACGAGGTCAAGAGATCGAGACCATCCTGGCCAGCCAACAAGGTTAAACCCCGTCTCTACTAAAAATACAAAAATTAGCTGGACATAGTGCCCACGCCTGTAGTCCCAGCTACCTGGGAGGCTGAGGCAGGAGAATCGCTTGAACCAGGGAGGCAGAGGTTGCGGTGAGCCGAGATTGTGCCACTGCACTCCAGCTCGGGCGAGACTACGTCTCAGAAAAAATAAAAATAAAAAAATGCGCCCCGGCTGTGACCAAACATTGCGAAAAAAGCCCTTATAGTGACGGCAGGGGGGTAAGTGGTACATGTTTCTGTGGTTGCATCCGAGTCCACTATGCTTGTATTGTAAGGGACCAGGGGATGTGGCCAGTCACTGCAGTGCACCGTCCGCCATGTCCTCCCCTCCGGTCTTCTGTGTGGGAGCCATCATTTAGTACACAGTTTGGTGATGCATCAGATGGTCCCAAATTGCTTCCTGTGTGCCTCTGAACACAGGGTGGAGGAGGTGTTGGTTTGGGTGGTGCTGGGTGAGGGGTAGGTGAGGCCTCTGTGGCCTCTGATGAGAGCACTCCAAGCAGGACACAGCCCTTGGGAGGTCAGAACAGTCGAGGCAGTTGCCTCCCCCCTCACATTCTAAACTGCGGGTCCCTGCAGGGAGAAAGGGAGGCCACAAAGGCCGGGCGAGGCAGTATACGAGCCCTGAGGAGATCGACGCACAGCTGCAGGCTGAGAAGCAGAAGGCCAGGGTGAGTACGTGCCTGTCCAGGCCACGCCAGTGGCCCAGGGTGGTGCTCTGCTAATTTGGTTCACAGAGAGGCCAGGCAAGGACTACCCATTCGCAGGGACAAGCTAGCACGTGGCGGTCGGGAGGGCAGTGAGCCCCAGGTGTGAGTCTCAGAACAACCAATGACAGTCAGGGCATGGGCATCCTCTGCCTGGATGGGTTAGAAAGAACTGTGGCCGCTCTGCAGCAGCTGCCTTAGTAGGGCCCTGTTCTTGGTCTTGTGCACCTACTTTCTGGAGGCTCTCCCTCCTGCAGGCCCTGTCCATTCACAGCTCAAGCTCCCAGCACCCCTGCTTGTCTGCTGCAGCCACACAGGACGATTTGCCACACTGCACATGACATGTGCCCTGACTTCCCACACCCCCATCAGCAGCGTGCTCTCCATCCCTGGAGACGTTGTTTAGCCTCTCCTCCTCTGTGACTTGTGCCTCCCCTCCAGCCAGAGCTGATTTAGTAGTTCCCTCTCCTCTGCTCCCATAGTACATTGTTCAAGCCCCTGTTAGGAAATAGAATACATTCCCATCGTCAGCATCTGCATCCTTACCACATCATTAGATTGATGCCTGGATCAAGGGCCTAAGGGAGCAGTCAGGGCCAGATGGGTACACAGCCGTGACGTGCCCCAGGAGCCTCAAGAAGGGAAAGGCCACATCCAGCTGTGGGGTCTGGGAGGGGTCCTTGGGGGAGCCAGCAGCTGAGCAGGACATGGAGAATGTGTGGGCAAGTGCCAAGAGATGAAGGACATGAGGTTTCTGTAAGGGACATTTTTGGTGGGAAGGCAAGAAAGGTGGAGGGAAGCAGCCTTCTGGGAAGCTGGTGCATGAGGTCACCTGTGTGGGTGGGTCGGGGGGGATGGCTTGCCATGGAGTGAAGTGGAGAGCGGAGAGGACTTGCCTGGGAATGCCAGCATGATTTGGCAGCTGCATGCGGCAGGTGGGAGCTGAGCAGGATGGTGGTTTTCAGCCT